TCGAACCACGTAAACTATCTGTGTTTGTTGGCAGCACCTCCACCGGCTTGTGTTTTTTGCGTTTCATTTATATGTCAGGAAGTACATATCAGAACATTTGACGCCGTCTATGGGAAGATCCATACTTCTTGGCTAGAGGTGTTCGCGTAAAGGTGTTCGCGGCCAGCGACGAAGAAGAGGAGTTTGACATTCACGAACAGAGGAGCAAGTGGATCGCGTCGCAGGCAGCCGAATTGCGACAGATTCGGTGAGCAGTGGAAGCTTTGATCGACTGGATTAGCACCGCAGGTTGTGTGGTTCGGCGAGACGGAGGAGGAACTGTCCGCGAAGGAGCAGAGGAAGGCAAGTGGTTTGATCCGCGAAGGGGCAGATCTCGCGAAGGAGGAGGATTTTCGCGACAGCTAGCACACGCCGCGACAGCTCTCGGAATTCAGTAGGTGCTCAGCGGAGCGGATTTTAGACGTTAGTGGGGATCTAGCCACAATAATGGGTTCCGCCAAATTTGACATCGAGAAATTCAATGAGAATAATGATTTCGGCCTATGGAGAGTAAAGATGAGAGCTCTATTGGTTCAACAGGATGTTGCAGAAGCCTTGCAAGGGTTGGCGGCATTGTCGGCCGACATGACCGAGAAGGAGAAGATCGGCATACTGGACAAGATCCACAGTTTGATAATCCTGAGCTTGGGCGACAAAGTTCTGAGAGAGGTGTTGAGGGAGACAACGGCTCAAGCACTTTGGGTCAAACTCAAGGTACTCTACCTGACAAAGTCTCTGACTAATAGGCTATTTCTGAAGCAGCACCTATACTCCTTCAAAATGCATGAAGACAAATCCTAAACTCTATTCCCAAGAGCTACGAGCATTTCAAGAATGTGATGCTCTATGGAAGGGTGCAGACTATTGCTCTGGAGGGGGTTCAATCTCTTATTAGAGCTAAAGAACTCCAGAAGAAGCACGACATGAAGAAGGAAACCAGTGGAGATAGTCTGGCAGTTAGAGGAAGATCGAGCAAGAAAGACTTCAAAAGTGATCAGAGCAGATCAAAGTCCAGAAGGAAGGGCAGAAATCAGTCTTCTAAGTGATTTAACAAATGTTACCACTGCCACAAGGAAGGTCACTTTAGAAGGAACTGTCCGGATAGAAAAAAAAGTTTTCAGAAGAAGTCCAGAGATTCTGGAGAGGCAAGCGTAGCCTCAGATGGTTATGATTCAGCTGAAGCTCTGACGATCACAGAATCTGAATATAGCAAGGAGTGGATCCTTGACTCAGAGTGCTCCTTTCATATGTGTCCTCACAAATACTGGTTCGAGTGACTGCAGCTGGAGAACGGTGTGTCTGTCCTACTTGGTGATAATAAAGCTTGCAGGGTAGTCGGCAGCGGGACAATCAGAATCAAGATGTTCGATTAAGCTGAAAGGATACTACAGCACGTCAGGTATGTCCCGGAACTCAAAAGAAATCTGATCTCTCTAGGTACGCTGGAGTCAAGTGGATACTCATTCAAGGCAGAGAATGGTTGCATCAGAGTATCCAAAGGTTCTCTCATAGTCATGAAATGAGGCAGAAAGAATGGACTATACTCACTAGTTGGAAGAACCGTGATCGACAACTTCTCAAATGCAGTTCAATCAGAACCTGACAGGACCAGACTATGACGCATGAGGCTGGGGCATGTAAGTGAAAGAGGCTTACAAGAACTGTCCAAGAAGAGTCTGTTATGTGGAGATTAAATCAGCAAACTCGAATTCTGTGAACAATGCGTTTTGGGGAAGGCCACCAGGGTGAAGTTCTCTACCGGAACTCACTCATCAAAGAAACCCCTTGACTATGTTCACAGCGATCTATGGGGGCCAGCCAGAACTCAAACTCATGGAGGAGGGAGATACTTCATGTCCATCATAGATGACTACACCAGGAAAGTATGGGTTTTCATCCTTAGATCAAAGGATGAAGCCTTTTAGAAGTTCAGAGACTGGCTAAGTGTCACAAAAAATAAGATGGAAACCAAGTTGAAGCACACGCCAGGTATTGAGATGATCAGGTACAAAGTCAGACTCGTTGCAAAGGGATTCACTCAGGTAGAAGGAATCGACTTCAACGAAATCTTCTCGCCCGTCGTGAAGCACTGCTCCATTAGGATAGTCTTAGCACTAGCGGTTCAATTCAATTTGGAATTAGAGCAGCTAGATGTTAAGACTGCGTTCCTGCATGGAGAGCTTGAAGAAACCATCTACATGGATCAGCCAGATGGGTACTGCACACCTGAGACAAAGAATAAAGTTTGCTTACTGAAGAAAGCTTTGTATGGATGGACTAAAACAAAGCCCCAGACAATGGTACAAACGATTTGATGAGTTCATGTTAAAGATCGGATTTGTCAGATGCAGCTACGACAGTTGCGCGTACAAGAAGTGGCAAGACGGTGAAATAAGTACCTGTTTGTTTCTTTATGTGGATGATATGTTAGTAGCCTGCAGAAGCAGGAGGAAATCCAAAAGATCAAAGGTATGCTCAATTCTGAATTTGACATGAAGGACCTAAGACCTGCTATAAAGATCTTAGGGATGGAGATTACTAGAGATAGGAAAAATGACACCTTATTCTTGTCTCAGAAGTCATATATTCAGAAGGTTCTAACAAGGTTCAACATGCATGAGGCTAAGCAGATTGCAACACCTATTGACCAACACTTCAGATTGTCAAACTCTCAAGCACAAAAGACTGAAGATGAGAAAAGGTACATGGAGGGTGTCCCTTATGCCAGCGGGGTTGGATGTATGGGATGATCTGCAGCAGACCAGATTTGGCATACACCGTCAACACCGTCAACATTGTAAGCAGGTTCATGGCAAACCCAGGACAGGCTCACTGGGAAGCACTAAAATGGATCCTGAGGTACCTGAGAGGCACTACAGACCTGGGTCAACTCTTTAAAAAGCAGGAAGACAAGGAAGAAAAGATAGTTGGTTATGTGGACTCTGATTGTGCAGGAAGCATTGACACCAGGAAGTCACTAACCGAATTCATTTTCACTTTCTTCGATACAGCAGTCAGTTGGAAGTCTAACCTCCAATCCGTTGTGGCCCTCTCAACAACAGATGTCGAATACATCGCTGTGACTGAAGCAATCAAGGAAGCTATGTGGCTAAAGGGCATGGCTGAGGAGCTCGGGATACATCAGAAGGTGATAACTGTGTACCAAAGCACCATTCACTTAACCAGAAATCAGGTATTTCATGAAAGATCCAAGCATATAAATATAAAGCTTCATTTTGTGAGGGATGTCGTCGTCAAGGGTTCAATAGTAGTGGAGAAGATACTTATTGAAGAAAATCCTGCTGATATACTCACCAAGGTGCTACCGACAGCTAAGTTCAGACACTGTCTGGACTTAGTAAACTTCACCAAGGGCTGAGGGCGTCTCAGGGGCCATGTGGAGGGAATCTTTACTTCGAAGCTTCTCAATTTAGGGTCAAGGAGGAGAATTGTTATTTTGACCCCAATTAATGAATTAAGGTAAAAGGACACTTTTGTAATGTGGTACCGTTCACCTATCACATCTCACCTACCGCTCACCTAACTCCCACCTACCACTCTCTGGCTTCTATAAATAGAGAGGGTGTGAGGCTTATGAGTGCAAGGAGTTTTCAACATTCACAAAAAGCTACCACAAATGAGGAGAGAATAGCTAGAGAGTTAGAGATGAGGAGAGCATCTTGAGACCTTGTATCAAGATGTCGCTTGAGAGGGAGGCAATATAAGGAAGATGAGGGCTCATCTCTATGTATAAGCTATGTATTCTCTATTTCTTTTGCCTTAGTGAACTATTTGATTGATTCCCTCCCGTGGACGTAGATCCAGTTGGATCGAACCACGTAAACGATCTGTGTGTGTTTGTGTTCTTTGCGTTTCATTTTTATGTCAGGAAATACATATCTCACAACAACCTACCAACCCCTAGGGTAGGGCTTGGGTTGTAAGTTGTCAAGCGACTTCTTATTTCTTTTTTCTCCCCTGTTTAAGAGGGTATTTGGCTGCAAGTAGGATTTAAGTTAAATCGGATTTAGTAAATCCAGTAATTTCATATTTATTAAATCTAAATATTATTAAATCCGAAATGATGTTTGGTTCAATTAAGGATAAATCCAGTTAAATCCATTTGATGTGTTTGACATAAATCTATTTAAAATATCTTTTTCCTGCACTAAATCCGTTAAATCCAACTTATAAGTGGATTTAATAAACGGAAGAAGCAAAAATTGGATTTAACTTAACGGTAGATTTATCTAATCTATTTATTGTATTTGGCTCGGTTAAATCTAATTTAATTCTTCTTAAAAGTATCCTACCAAACGCCCAATGAATAGAAGAAGAAAAATATATAATGAGACTATAAGAGATATGAACATAAAACTGCAAGTTAAACTGTAAAATGGACAATGGATTATTAAAAAAAAAATAAAATAAAATTGTCCCCAAAATAGATTATGGTACCTTTCGTCATTTCTTTAAGATGAATGGTGGTACTCTCGTGCTTAGTTTTTAGTTGAACTAATTCGGAGGTCTTCTGCACAAGCGCATCACCCAATGTTGTAACCATTTTCTGCTTCTGTTGATCTTCATCTCCAGTCATGTCAGAAACAGTCTTTAAATCACCCTTTATCCGCAGAAACTCACCAAGTTTACCAGTGGAATTGTAATCATCTGCACGTGCCAGCCATCCATACATTTTTGAAGTAGTCCTGTCTTGATGATACCAGTCCCACTTACCTCTACCTTGTTCTTTAAAGTAGTTTTCAAATGCCCCGGCGTCCTCAAAACCATTCCAATCACTCCTGAAGATAACAACTGCACTTCCTTTCGGGCCGGTATGACTCCATAATGGCACCACTTTTAAAGGATTAAAATTGGACAGTTGCTCCTTCAGCTTACTTCCAGCTTGATAAGTTTCCTGGCCATCATCCCCAACCTCATCTTTATAGAGATTGACAAGGATACCCATCCATGGATACACATATACTTCCTTTTTATATGTTTTACTAGACTTTTGTGATGATGGGCCTGCTTCTTCATTCATATATTCTTCTAAATATCTTGCCAAAGAAAGATGTTTTGCCCTGTCTGTAGCATTATCTCTACGTGAACCAATTCCTGTGGAATGTTGAACTAGTTCTTTATAATTGTATTCTTGCCTTTTCTTATAGATACAAAAAGGACATCTATATATGCCATTTGCTATTTTCACTTTATGTTTTCCGGATTTCAGCTCTAAGTAGACTTTCTCCGCAAGTTCAGGAACTTCAGACTCACTTGCTGCAGAGTCAGAAGAGCTATAATCCATCTTTAAAATGACCTGAAAATGACAATGTAGAAGTATTTATTCAATGTTACAGAGGAAGAAAGTTGTTACAACCACCTTGGCATTCAAAAAACTCATGATTAAGAGGCATATAAAATAGATGTAGTGTGTGTATATATATATATATATTACAATGGTGAAACTTTAAAGCGGAGGGGGAGAGGACACAGATAAACTATGCCCACCTATACATACATATGTAAATAAATATATTGTTACAACCAGATCTAAAACACAATCAAATCGAACAATATGTGATGTGAAGCAGGATAGATCGAAACTTTTGAAGTTTCAAAAGTCAAAGCCAGGTTCAAAATGTATTGTGATGATAGGAGAAAGAACAATATATGAATAATTATAAACAACTTATAAGCAAAGTAAATTAAAAATATTTTGTTTAATTAATATGGTCCATAACACTAACCAATACAATTAGAAAATAACAATAATTACTAATGAGAAAAATTCAAATACAATAAGATTATTAATAAAGCTAAAATAACATAATTTCTTAATCTTGGATGAAATTTTTGTACGAAAAAAAATTGTTGCGATAGTAAATTTTCACCGAGCATCCCGACAAAATTTGTTATGAGAAAAAATTTCAACAAATGAGTTTAATAACTCTTCCTCACTAAATAACTCACATTTATTAAACGATAAGACATTAGAACATAAAATATGAAAAGACACTAATCACTATGTAATAACACGTAATTGGTATCATAATATCACATGTCACAACATCAATGCATAAACATAATGCATGAGATATTCCTAAATGATTTATAGCATGTTAATAGTTATATTTATGTGCATGAAAAGCTATAAACAATGCATTTCTATTGAAAAAAATTGATATGCAACCATAACGGATACAATCACGCATTTTCAAATATGACTCATTAGTTATTTATCATTTTATTGTTTTATTGTGATCATATATATATATATATATAAATTCAATAATTTTCAAAAAAATTGTCACATTGTAAGCTACACTGTTGCACAAATGCATACAATTTTTGTATATATTATAAACAAATTTAAAGCATTACTATATAGCCAATATGACAATTTTTTAATTTTATAACAAAATATTATATACATGAATAAAATTTATTATATTCATAGAGCAAATGTGTGTGAAACACAAATTTCACCATTTCAAGGAGCAATTTAATATATAGAAATTTGTATAACAATAAATTAAGAAAACTCTCCCTCTAATTTCTAGTCATTATGAATAGAAAAGAGATATGGCATACTTATAGAAAGTTGTGGACTACCAACTCAACAAGTAGCAACCTACAAAATCCCTAAAATTTATAACAAAACATTAAGAATAATGCCCACACTTAATAGTTAAAAGTTATCTTCTTATAGTTCTACATGAAGATGTTTGTACCTAGGCTAAAAATGATTATCTTACAAATCAAATTTGATTAAAATTATTTAGATAATTGTACCTCTAAAGTACATTTACACAGTACTCATGGGACAAGTATATTATATTAATAATAAAAGAGGACAAATCATAGGTACATGAATTTATTAACAGAAAAAAAAATAGAAATGTATTTTATTTAACTTGATAAATAATAAATACTTATGATTTGAGTATAAAGTTTTACATATATATAAATTTTCATAAAATTGCATTATAAAAAACATAAGAGTAAAGTGCCAACATAGTCTTAATGGAGGAAAATTTCAATCTCTATTAAAAAAAGTATGTGGACCAATTTGACACTTTTATTGATTTTGGGAATAGAATGGCTCCCAACATAAAATGACTATTTTGACATTTAAGAAAATAATGTATTTTATATAAAAAAAAAATGAATAAAATTTTATAATGTAGTTGGCTCTTTTAAGATTAAATTATTTTATATAAGTAATTTTTAATATTAAATTGATTAATGAATTAAAAGAAATTTTTAATTCTATCATTTGTTTTATGCGATTCTCCAAACTTTTAGGTGGGAACACGACACCAACCAAAGAATCGCCATAGTAATAAGATTACCACCATCAAACGATGGTTGCACACTAAATATTGTGTTAAAACACTACAGCCAACTGCCCTTATTTGGCCACAATCACTCGAATGTTATTGTCTTACCACTATCGTAGTTGGGTCGTCGTTACCATTAGATAGCTACTACCATCAAACTATCACCATCCTTGAACGGTCGCCAGTTAGCCATCATTATCAAACCAATATCATTGAACCCACTGCTATAGTCGAACCGCCACCTGATCACTATTGTCGCGCTGCCACGGCTTGATGATCGCTAACCAACTACTATTAGTGCACCACTCTAGTCAAATCATCATCATTGCTAAACTGACAAATTATTTTGAACCACCATCGACATCATTAGACTAAAGTTTCTAAACCAACATTGTTAAGCCTTGAACAACCGTCGCTTGACTGTCACCACCAAACAATTACCATGAAATTGTCATCACTCGACCTTAATCTTTAAGGCATCATGTTAAGGCCCTAACTACAATCACCACAATACAAGTCTCATGACCATCACCTAATTAAGAGATCTCCATTATTATTAGTTGAATATTATTTCTCTATCACTCTCGCGAGATTTTAGGGTCTGTTTGGGACATCTTGTTTGTTTCAGTATAAGCTGCTTATCCTGAAACGCACAAGCTGTCCAACACAGGAAACGCAGCCCGCGGGTCGGCCGCGGGGGTCGGCCCGCGACTTGCGTCTAGTGTAAAACCTAAACGCAGTTTCGGATAAGCTGGCGAAACGCGTGAATCAAATGGTACGACAACGTTTTGAAACCACCGCCCTCACTTATAAGCTACCCCAAACGGACCCTTAATCTCCTGATCATCATCACTCGATTACATTGACACCCACCAACTTCATTGCTCCACGGCTGTAATACCAATGCCAACTTCGTCGTATTCTATCACCAACCACACCAAAGCATGTCATTAGCAACAAATCCAATCTACGCTATAGACAGCAGCTCTGTTTCTTGACATCAAAATCAATATTAATATCACATATGAAATTATGTGATGAATATCTATATGAAACTGCAGCAATGTTCACAAATAAACAAACAAACAATAAACAAACAAACAAAAAAAAAAAAAGTTTAAATAAATATATAAATAAATAATCAAAATGAGGTAATGGAGAGAAAGAGAGACCGATGGTGGGCTAAAAACAGCTGCAGAGGAATATCAGAGCAAGTCCGGAGCAGATTAAGGTTTTAGAGAGTGTTGTTTTCCATTTAAATAGACGGGGAAGATGGAGACATGAGAGAGTTTGGAAAGAAGATATGAGATATTCAGTGAGAAAATACGGATAACCATCAGTTTTAAATAGAAAAATTTTGGCGTCATGGTAACAGTTCAAAGTTTTTACATAGATATCGTATCATTTTTATTTACTTATTTTTTAAGCGTATGTTGTTGAATCCTGATTTGTCTATGAATCACGCACATGAAATAGAACCTAATAAATGAGAGAGAAATCGAGAGGATAGTAAACAGTAATGAACAGTAAAACTGCTTCTTTTTTATAAATTAGTATCATTATGTATAAAGGAAAAACATACAATATAGTGATATTACATTTTTTGTCTCTATTTTAATGGGGGGCTTTACAGAATATTCTAGAAAATTGACATATATGGGTTTTTCGCCCGATTGTTCGCTGGCTCGGTCGGCTAGGCTAGTATGACTTCAGCTCGTGTGACCGATCTGGTTGGTTAAATCAAGTCGTCGTTGTCAGTCAGCTAAGCTTGATTAGCTTCGGGTCAGCAGAACTCACTCGATCAACTAGGCTTTGTAAATCGGTTAAAGTTTAATATTTACACTTATAATAATTTTATGTTATAAATCTATACATGAAAATTTGATTTCACTTAAAAAAAGGATTAAAATTTCTGGTTTTTTTTAATTTAATATTAAATATTTTAAGTGCTATGAAAGCAAATATAAAACAACCGTGTGGTATGTTTGTAAAATGCTCACATTATATGATGTTAATTATTATATGCACATGTTTTAATACTTTATTATTATTTTATCAAAAATTTTATGATAAATAAATTCATTGTTCTTAAATATATCCATAAATCAATCAATAATTTCATATAATTTAAATGTAATAAAAATACCACTCAGCACGATTCTTAAAGCCCATGCATAAAAGAGTAACCCATTATATTTTGGCAATAAAACGACACCTCCATAAGTGCAAATAAATAAGTAGAAAATGGGCACTTCATGAATATTCTTCAAGTGTCCCAAAAGCTAAATTTAAGAGTTCAATTTAGGTAATTCTGATTGTTTATAATAAAATAGGGAAATTTACATACATACATCACAATTCTATGGATTTACATATCAAATTTCAAACAGACTATACATCTAATTTTCAATATTATCTTTATACCCTGCGTTCTTTTTTCAATTAACTTAACAACCCCTTCACCAAATTGATGGATCCAACCCAAGTTTAACATGATGAATCCAATGTTCCAAACAAATCTGCAGTTCAAACCTTAAACATGCTGAATCTAGGGCACAATCTTCAAGTCAAATTATTTATATCAAGGGGCATTTTCATACAGACCACCCAATTCCTATGTATTTAAATATATAACACCTATAGTTTGCTTTTGTTTACATTCATACCACCAAAATCTTTCATATCATATCAGAAGTACCATCATTTTGCATAGGTAAGGGGGTATGTAAAAAATTGAAGTTTTGACGTGAAATATGTAAATACATAAGAATTGAGTGGCATGTATGTAAAAATCTTCGTTATATCAAATAACCAAATCCAGGCAAAATGCCTAATTATATGTTCAAGAAAACAAAGTCTGCAGCTTAGCATGGCATTGGATAAAATGGACAGAGGAAAAACAACCCAATCCACAGAGTCTCCAACTTAGAAACATACATAGCATAAAAGCTGTCCATCTCATAAGAACAATAAAAATTACTGCAACACATCATACATAGATAGATACATCATCTCCGAGCTCGGCGAGCTCTAAATTGTTTGACAATGTAATGGATGACCTCCGACATCGTCGCCTTGCGATCCTCTTTGCAATTCCATAGCTCAGCTACTGGATATCGCCCGCTCGGATTATACTCATTTAACTCAAACAAAGCTTGCTTCACAGCATTGTACACATCATCCCCAAAATCAATCCATAAACTCTTCAGTTTTGAATCGTTTTCATCAATTATTTCCTGCATCATCCAAAATTTGGAACCAAATGATGATCTTGAAGTAACAAGCAATGGTGGAAGCAGATGATAGCTATGGAAGGCCCTTACTAATAATCCATAAACTCTTTAATATCATATAATACCCTAAAAATTTTGACACTTAAACTTATATATTTAATAATAATTTAATATTAACTATATTATTTGTTTAATGATAATATTTCTAATAGGTTTAAGAGAATTTAAGAATATAAAAGCCTTAAACTTATATACTCGCCACCCTTCTTCTGAAGTTATGGTTCGACCACGGGTCAAAGGCCTTGAATCAGAAAAGAACTGTATATCAACTTCAAACCAATACCTCTTTTACGCCATCACGTTCGATGATTTTAAAAGGATGCCACGAAGGATCACGAATTTGTTCATCCCAGCTAGAACACAGCTCTGAAGCTTTAATATCAGCTTCTTCGGCTGGAAACTTCTTCTTGCATGCACTTTCGAAAGGCTTGATATCAAGATCACCCATTCTTTTTATTCCAATCAAGGTAGGACCTTTCAACAATTTTGAAAGTCCCTGAATTTTTTATGTCAGGAAAATAAAAGAGAAAAATCATAATATTAGCACATAGAAATGGAGAGAAAAGACGCTGATTACCCCTATCAGTTCCGCACGAGCTTCACTGAGCTCCAGATTGGCCTCACGTTCCTTAACGAAAAGAGTGTTGTGCAACTCTTCTAAATGCTCCTTATCTTGTTCCAATTTGATGTGGTATTCTGCTATTTTCTTGTCTATATCTTCTTCCCCTTGCAAATGCTCCATAACTTTCAATTTACCTTTCAGCTGAGCAATTTCAAGCTCCAGTTTTTGTTTCTGATCAAGTTCTCTCTCTAACTGAAGTAGTCTTGCAAGAGCAACTTCTTTTTCTCTCTACAAAACGGGCGAATATAAGAATCAGATTGTGAGGACCAGAATCGCATATGAACCGTAAAACCAACGCATATGGTTTGAGATTACCTTCTGTTCCTCCAGAAGCTTTTTGACCTCTTCATCAGCTCTCTCTTTCTCAATTGTTGCCAATTCAAGGTTAGAATTCTCTAGAGCAGTCTAACAAATAGTATATATATTAGCATCAAAGGGAAGATTTTCAAATCAATAGTTGCTTTATGCATGCAAAGGAACATTAGCCAACTGTTAATAAATTTATCATGTACGCAATAACAATTTGGCCTAATAATAGCTCTAGCAGTTCAAGAATGAAGCTGAATTTTCGATGGTCGCATCAAGAATTAACTACTATAATTTCGACCCCTCACATTGTTCCATAATTACCTTTTCTTTCTGCATGTCAATGTTCCGTTTCTCGCCATCATTTTTGGCCACATATTTATCAAGCTCTCTGCACCGTTGTTCAATCTCTTTCTTCTTTGTGTCCAACTCTATCTTCAGCTTATCATTTTCTATTAAAATCCTTCGTGCATTCTCCCGAGCTTTCCGCTGAATATTATGCATTTCTGGTAGAAACATTACGAAATAAGCACAAATATCACACAGTATATGAAATACAACAAGAAATGGCCCAAAATAGCCCTCCAGCAATTCTATGTGGCCAACTTTGCCACAGAGTATCACATAATCTCCAATTCAGTCCATCTACTACATAAAATTGATCCTAAAAGGTAGGTCAGATAGAAATTAAAGAAAACTGGGATAAAACATTGATCCCAATTCAGTCCATTTAGAATTAATTTTACATAGTCTATGTACGAAATTAAAGAAATGCAATACACAAGAGTTAAATTAGTCAGATACAAATAGTTGACACGATGAAAACCTAAAATGCACACCATCACAAATAATAATGAGTTGAAGCTGATCTTCATGATAATGCTATGACACATGAAAGATTATTTAGGATATATTAGAAGCAAAATATGATTTGCATATACAATATAAATCTATATCTCATGCTGTTAAATTTAAATCTGCACTTAAAATAAATTATGTTAATGAACCTACAATTAAAACTTTTTGAATGGCCAATATTTGAATCTAAAACTAAGCAAGGAACCAGATCAAAATTTGAATTTCCAAAACAAGGCGAGTCAATTCGAAAGTGTGAAGTTAACCAATTAAATCTGAAATATTTGATGAACTAATCAAGCAGTTTAACAACACAACTCCTAAAGACTATTCAACAAATTTTTTTCTTATATTGAAGAGCATCACACTGATATTGATTTAACATTTGGTTCTTACTTCCTACATATAGCATTTAATAAAAATAACTTAATATGAGAATTAAGTCACATCAACAATTTAGAAAATTTATTAATAATAAAAGCCTTAAAAGAAAGAAAAAAATTTAAAATTTTCCTCAACCTGATTAATTTTAAAATTGCATAATTTATCACAGCCAATTATAAAGGCATTTGGTCTTTTTTTTTTTTTAATAAGTTATTCGGCCATCTACTCATAATATATTTATGTGGTTCGTCCTTTTTTTTATATAAATCTGATTTTGTAGGAATTAATTATAGTCTTTTATTCGAATCATTTACAAATAATTTAGCATTTTCACATATTGCCTTATATGATATCAAACATTTGCATCATTCACTTGATTTGTCAAAAAATAGAACAATTAATTATAACTGATATGCCATCAACAAATTTTCATCATCATCATACACGGGCCTTAAGAAATTTTTTAACAAGGAATGTTCAAACCTCAATTAAAAATCATTCTGAACTCTGACAAACTTACAATCAAACTGACTGGTTCGATGAGATAAGCACAATGACACCAAAGTTGGTCCAATTCGAGTTGAATCAAACCCAAATTGAGCCGTGAAGCTATTTTTGAAAGCTTCTAGAGTCCAATTGATAGTTGAATCTAGCATCTTAACGAGATGAATCCAATATACCCAAGTTCACTCAATTATGATATTGATAAGACACTTAAATGTCCATAAACGCCATCCAGTTGAAGGGATCTCTTTGTGTCGTCTGATAAAGTGGTCCAAATTCTTTCCTTATTTGTTGAAGGCCACTCCCAGACTCAACAAATAGAGTCTTACTCACTTCATGAAAGGGGGCTAGACCTTGAATAAAAGGAAGCCTGGGACGTGGAGTAGAAAGAGCTGAGGTTCAGTATTCCACACCGAAGGTCCAACGATCACCGCCCACTATTGCAGTCGCCGACCACAGTTAACCATCGCTCACCGGTCACTGTTAACCACTGTCAGTCGCCCAAAGCTTGTTGCAACAAAGCCTCTTACAAAATCCCGGCGTACGTTACGGAGTAACATAACACTCGAAAGAAGCAGTGCAATGAAGCAACTCGAAGCCGGTGTAACGACGCACACCGAAACGGTGCAACTACGCATTTCGAATACGATGCAACGATGCACCCCACATACAATACAACGATGCATCCAGAAGACAATGTAATAACGCATCCTGTAACAACTGCTTACAACCCCCGTACTCTGGATACAATTACTTTCTAAGGAATCTTGAAGTTTTCTCCTCAACTCCTTACTACGACATACGACTTATGTGGTTCACTGGAACTACAACCCTTGCTATGGATTTGCCACTACGACTTGCGTGGTTCACAGCTCATAGAGCTCCCAACTTTAGCCTGTGTGGCTTACAAATGTTATCTTAGTTCATGCAACTCCCAACTCCGATCTTTGTAGCTTACAAACGATATCTCAGCTTACGCAGCTGTCAACTCGGGCCTTTGCAGCCTATAAACATTATCACAACTCATGTAGCTCCCAACTCTGACCTCTATGGCCTACAAACATTAACTCATGCAGCCTCTAACTCTAGCCTTTGCGGCCTATACATGTTATCTCAGCTCACGTGACTCCAAACTCCAACCTCTGTGGCTTAAGGACAATATTGCAGCTTATCACTACAACCTACATGATCAACTGCGGCTTATCTAGTTCACGGCTCATGCAACTCTCAACTCTGGCATCTGTGGCCTACGGATGTTATCATAGCTCGTGCGACTCTCAAATTCAATCTTTGTGGCCTACAGACGTTATTGTAGTTCACTAATATAACATTCGTGATCAACTGTAGTCAATATGATCCACAACTCATGCAGCTCCACTTTTATGGCCTACAGAAGTTATCGCAGCTCACCACTATAGCCTATGTGACCAACCATAGCCTACGTGGCTCACAGCTCCTGTACCCTACTACAGCCTTTGTGACCACCAAATGCTACTGAATCAATCAACTACGATCTGCATGGTCAACTACTACCATGACTTTCAATTACGGCCTCTACGACAAGCCGACGCTACATCCACCATCTACAACATTTACGGTGGACTACTGTCTCTATAGCAATCGACTACGGTCTTTGCAGTCTGTTATCGTCGATAACTACATTCAATACAACCAGTTACGGTTATTATTGATTAACTATTGTTATACATCAATAATAATCAACTTTATAACTCCATCTTCCCTAATTCAGACGAATAATTAACATATGTACTAACAATTTTATAGTAAATTATTTTAACTATGCTAGATCCCATGATTTTTTCCTCATTATGGGCTTTTCATGTAAAAAGTAGATGTGTCTCCTCTTGCTTAGACACTTTTATTATTTGAGTATGTGATGAATTCTCGTACAACACTAAGATACTAAAATATCATTTTTTCGTCGTGAATCTTTTGCATGTATCAATAACAATTGTAAGTTTTCTCCTAATATAAATAAGAAATAAATGAGTTCAAAACAAGTTTTACAGTTATGATGTGTTCAAAATTTAAAATTCTTCAAAAAACTCCAAGAAATTAAATGAGGAAAAAAAGTAAGACAATTTAAAATTGTGCTCAACACATTAGAACTGATTTCAATAAATTAAAACATTTTTGTTCTACCATTAATACAATATTATGTCAATTAGTCTTATTTCAGAAACCTAATGTCAACTCCTATGTTTCTTATCACTTTTAACCTCCTCATAAATTCGCACCAAGACTTTGCTAGACAAATTTGCATAGCTTGCAGTCTTGAAAAAGAAGATATTTTGAATGATAAATTATATCCATAATTGTATTGTTTTGTATTCAGAAGATATGTTGTTGTTGACCTCATTTTTAGTGAGGTCTTAGTCTTCTACTCTTAGAACCTAGAATCTAGCCTTAGGAGTTTCTTGTTGATCATCCTAGCGGACTAGCAATGGAGCCCACCTCCCGTAGAACTTCAAGCCACTTCTTGACTCATTTTTGTGAAGAACTCGCATGAGTGGTTCGAAGCACTCAACTTTTAGTTGCAAGGGCTAAGGACCAACATGTAGAGGGCCCGAAATTGAGTTCCTATAGGATCAAAACAGCCTTAGGTGAACCCTTTGTGACTCGATTACTCACGAACGCTGCAATTCATGCACTCACTGAACCACACACGACTTTGACTTAAATCGACTCGCCATTCGGTAAACTCGTCCGGACGACCCCGGATGACGAAACGGACCTCGCCGACGCGTCCGGAACGTCAATTTTAGCTAGGAAGGACACC